CTTGGTTCTTTTCTTGCAAACGTTTCATGACCCGGCTAGGTCACATCTCAGTGAAGGGGATTGAGGGCTCTCTGTATCTAGCCGGGTAATGAAATGTTTGCAAGAAAAGAACCAAGCTCAGAGAACCCCAAGGACTCCACAGGTGTTCATTGTACAGTTCATCAGTATCCATCATGATCGCAAAGCAAGGTGGTCAGCTGGGCCAGCCTGCAAGGAGGTCACGTTCCCTTCAAACATAGATTCAGTTAGCCCTGGTTCGGCTAGCCCTGGTTTCAGTATGTCCAGAGCACCCTTCCAGTGACTTCCAAGCTGCTATAGGGGATTGAGGGCTCTCTGTATCTTGCCAGAGGCAAAGCCACAGATAGGAAATCCATGTTTTACTCTTGTTGCTTTTGCTTTTGAATCAAGGCCTTTGTGGTCTCTCTCATCACAGAATCTGAGGCAGCTGCAGCGAAGAGTGGAGGAACAGGAGGCGGCTCTGCTGGGGAGAACGCAGGTGGTAGAACTGTTGCAGCAGGAGCTGAACAGCAGTGAGGAGGAAAAGCAGGTATCCCCCGGGTTTTACCACCGAGGAGCTGGAAGGGGGCAGAAATGAGCCAGTAGCCTCATCAGGGCCCACAGGACTGGGTACGGCCAGTACCCTTGCTGTGCAGAGATCCTGCTGTTCACCACAGGGCATTTTGATGCCCCGCAAAAAACTGTTTCATTTGAATAGTTCACCCCAGCCACAGGTGAACTAGTGATGAGAAGGCAAGCGATGCCGAACGCGCACACAGTCGGGGCAAAACGTGTTCCTGACTTTTAATAAAGTAAATCAAGTATTTATGTTAATGTGTGGTCAACGAAAAAACGATTAAGACATTTTTAAAAGGCTGGAAGTCTTTTACGGACTTTTTGCTGAAAGAAGAAAAGGCAGAACTGATGATTTATGGATTTGGGGATTAGAAAGGGTTAAAGAGGGAGGAGAAAATATAAGATGGCAGTTGCTTGATAGAAGGAAAGGCGAAGGAAAAATTCTGTGTTTTTAAAAATTTTTCACTTTTTTCTAATTACATTTTTTTCTTTTTCTTATTTTTCTTTTCATTTTTTTATACTTCTGTTGTAAAATTCTAATAAAATATTTTTTAAAAAAGGCCTTTACATTAACATAGATTAGAGGCACAGTTCTCAGCTGTTTTCTGGCTGTGCATTAAGCTGCCATCCAGCAATGTGGCTTGGTAACTGTATGCACGAGGGTCCTCTCTTCCCACTCCAGATGCCACCTTGGCTCCTGGAACAAGTGAGAAATGTCTCCTCCCGCCCCCAGCCCATTCCTCTGCTACCCCATTTCTTGCTTATTCTGTCTTGTCCTCCATGTAGATGGGCTTCTCCACCTTGGGGTGAGCTCCACGGCTTTGTCTTTCTTTCCTTTCCCTAGAGTCTCCTGAAGAAATTCCAGGAGGCAGAGACAGAGTTGGATTCCTCGAGAAGCGCTCTGGCTTCTGTCCAGCAGGAGTCTCAGAACCTGGTAAAGGGGCTGGAGCTGGAGCTGGCAGAGCAGAAGATGGCCTTCCAGCACACCCAGGAGGAGATGCATGCGCTCCGCCAAGAGCTGGCCCACGCGAGAGCATCCCAGGCTGAGCGAGAGTGGGAGAGGCAGGCTGAGGAGGCGAGGCATGCCCTGGAGATGGCAGAGAAGAGCCAGGAAATGGCCGAGCTCCAGAAGGCAGAGCAGGACCTGTGTTCCAGTTACGAGGCTGTCCAAGCTGAGAACGCCCGGCTGCGTCAGAAGGCGGATTTACCATCGGAGTGCTCCCCCGAGGGCTCTTCTGCCTCGCAAGGTCAGAAAAACACTCTGCAAGGATCCTGCAAAGGCTTCCTGGCGCAGTGAGAGCGTGTCTATACCAAGGGATCCTCATTCTGCTCCCGAAGCCCCTGGGCAGGGTCTGCATCAGCTTGTGCTGCTTTGTGGTTAGGCTGTTGGAGGTCTTCGCTTGGCTGTGCTTTGGAACATCAGTGTCCTCTGCTCAGGAACAGCACAGCATGTAGGTTGTGCCTGCATCTCGATGGCAGCCTTTGGGATTTTAAGGCTCTTCAATTCCTGCAGAACGAAAGCGACCTCTCAGTCTTGCAGCTCCTTAACTGGGAGCAGATTTGGGGACTGGACCTCAGTTGGTGGCAGTTTTCTGCTTATGTTGAATTTGGCATTATATTTGGCAAGGGAATGGATGTGTTCCTGAATCTCCTTTGGGGAAAAGCTCATGTTGCGTTTTCTGTCCTAGGGGAGCTTCCTGAAAGGCCCACGGAGTTTGGCTTTTCTCAGCCAGAACTGGAAACACTTGCAGCCCAGGTTCTTCCCTTGAGCCAGGTAATTGCTTCTTTAAGGGCCTTTGTAGACGTGCCAAGCGGTTGCTGCCCTAAATCCCTGCATTGGTCCATCCAGCCCCCATTTGCCTCTTCTGAGTGGCTGCAACTTCTTGGTGCATCTTGGAGATGGTCTTTCTCTCTTCTGCCTGAGTGTAAGCATGAAAGTGGCCACCAGCACTTCTTGGGCTAGACAGAACCATTATGTCAACACTGAGGAGATCTCCCCCAGTCCCAAGGCTGGAAGAGAATAGCAATTTTCTATTGACTCAGAAAGATGGGAAGAAGAGGGCTAGAATTTAAACCCTGGACCAGACATTTGTGTGAGGCTTGGATTCTGGGCTCTGCAGTAGCTGATCTTCTGCAGGTATCTATGGCTTCTGTCCTGCAGAAAAGCTCTTATCTAGCTGTGTCCTCTCTTTGGACTCCTGCTGTAAGCATGCATGAGGTTGAGTGTTTGGAGAGTTGAGAGTTACTGCACAGCCTGGTGTGAAGTCTCACACCAAGAATAGCTGCTCCCATTTTCAGGGGCAAGTAAACACGTCTGTGGGCTTTGGACATGCTCCGCCTCCTTCCCATCTTGACCCATCCATGACAGAAAATAGGGGCACATGCTTAAAATATGAACCTCCTTGAAGGAGAAATGACATGCGTCCCTTTCATACCTCTTCCTCTGCTACATAAGTAAGCAGGCTATTCTGACCTCCCCACATTCCAGAACTTGAATGCTGTTGACTCATGTCTGTCTTGTATCTCACACCCTTGGGGATGTTTGGAGAGTTCAGGTTTAAGCTGAAACAGCAGGGGTGAATGCGGTTTAGTTGGAAGAACAAGGCCTTTGGCTTTTTGAAAGACAGACCTCTGTGTTCACCTGGGTTCCTTCTGTTCCCCAGCCACTTAATCAAGAAGATGTAGCAGCACTTCCAGGAGGAAATGCTGGAGAGCAGGAAGAGGAACCGTACAAGACCACAAGGGCAGCCCTGGAAGCCAGAGATGGTAACTTGAGTCTCTCCCTGTCTCCTTGCTTCTGTTTCCAGCTGACGGCTCTTCCTTGCCCAACCAAGCCTCTGTGATGGGCTCCATCTTTCCTGTTAAATGAGGACTTTATCCTCCCAGCAGGAAGCCTCTTCTCTTGCACTGTGGAAGGTTCACAGCACAAAGGGTCAAAGGCAGGCGCATGATAATTTGGGGGCATCTGGTAATTTTCAGTCATTGTGGTGGGGGAAAAAATGGTAGAGAAGGAGAGCAGGGATGAGTTAAACTATGTGACCCCTCCTGATGCTTTCTTACTGTGATTTGTTTATTATAGGTAGTCCTCACTTAACTGCCCTGTTTAGTGACTGTTTGAAGTTACGACAGTGCTGAAAATTAACTTTATGATCAGTCCTTGCACTTATGACTATCACAGTGTCTCATGGTCACACGATCGCCACTTGCGCAGTTCACAGCCAGCTTCTGACAAGCAAGGTCAATGGAGAAGCCGGCAGTAAAATCGCAAGTCGCAGTCATGTGATGTTTTACTTAATGACTGTGTTGCTTAGCAACAGAGTTGCCAGTCCCAATTGTGATAGTTAAGGGAAGACTACCCATATTGCTGCATCCAAGCTGCCATAGAATAATGGAGAGTGGCATCGTATATTTGAGCTGGATTACAACTCCCATCTCTCCTGCCAGCTGGGAAAGTAAGGGTAGACGTTCAGCATGTAGGGGAGGCATCAGATGCAGAACCCTCATTTTGCAGGGGTGCCCATTACGTTGCTGTCCCATTATTAGCTTTGGGTCCTGGAGGTCATTCTCAACACTTTCCTGGGGTTGTTTTGCCCAGGAACTGTGAGGAGTCAAGAGGAATAAAGGCAAGAGAGTGAGAAACGGGTTGGTCTTCTCTGCTCTGGCCTCTGCAGTGACTCTTGTGTTATCCACAGGAAAAGCAAAAACAGCCAAAATCTTTCCCTTCGTTCTCCTTCCCCTTCCAATTCTCTGGCTCCGTAAGGCAGCAAACGCATGCCGTGAAGCCATATGAGGATGGGCTGGTTAAGCTGCAGGTTTTGCTAAGTCAGGTAGCTTAGTAAAGCTTTGAGAGTACAAACCTGGCTGGTTTTTGTTTGTTCCAGAAAGTGATCCTCGACTGAACAATGGGAGAATCGGGTGGGCCTTTGGGTGACTGAAGGTCGTCTACCTTTAGAACATCCGGCCAGGATCTCATCTCAGCTCACGCAGTGGGAGTGGGACGGGCAGAGGTTTTGACTCAGGGCCTTACAACAGGGTGGCCTTCGCTGCAGCTCACTGTCCTCTGTTTCCTGGCCAGGCTTCCTGGGAAGTGACAGCATGGAAGGTCGAGAGCCACCAGACACCCCTGCCACCTTAACTCAGGTGAGCTACACGACCACCCTTGAATCCTCAGGCTTTGCTTTCCTGTATGATCTCTCAGGTTCAACACTGTTTTAGATGCAGAGCCTGAGACGGATGAGCCCAGATGTTTTTATGTGGTTAGACTGGCTCAGTTTCACTCAGTCACTCCTGAGGTGGTTAGTAGGTTGCTGAGGGCATGGCGATCTCCTGCCTGGCATCTTGGTCCTTGCCCAGCATGGCCGAGAGCAACCTGCTCGGAGGTTCTGGGGGCTAACCTGGGAAATATTATTAATACCTTTGGAAAGGGGAAGTTGTTTTCCTGTTTAACGTCACAAGGAGCCTGGTAGCACCTTTTCTGACTAACAACTATTAAAAGGCATAAGCTTCTGCCTTTAATTAAATCAAAACTTGTTACCAGACTCCTCCCATAGAGACCATATTACACCAATTTTGAAATCTTCACACTGGCTGCCAGTTGTTTTTCTGGGTTACAAACTGCCGCTTACAGTCTTTAAGACCTTCAACTGCTTGTTCTTGGGCTGCTGAGAGTGCACCACCTGCAATATTCCACTGGTCACTATAATCATCTGTGTCTGTGGCCAGCAGAAAGTCTCTTTTCTTATGAAGTGGGGCTGGGGGTTCCAACTGCTTCTGGTGGAGGAATGACTCACACCTTGATCTCCTTGTTTCAGTCTACTGCAGGCAGGATCCTTGAGGAGCCATTGCATGCCCAAGAGAATGGACACCCTGATCTCCTGGAATACTATGCTGAGAAGAAGCACCATGATCTGTCAGTCTTGCTCGTGGAGCTCCAGGAGGCCCAGGAAGAAATAGCATTTCTAAAGGGACAGCTTCAAGTCTCAAGCAACCTGGAGGCTGATGGAGGACAATCCCAGGGGAGTGACCCAGAGAGAGGAGCAGGGCCCATCCAGAGTGATTCAAGTAGCAGTTCACTGGTCACTGTAGACATTCAGGATTCTCCTTCTGTTCTGGGGATGCTCTTGGGGCAAGAGGACAATGAAACAACTCAGGGGCCTTCTCTAGACTCTGGGTTGCAGTTAGAGAAGATGGCAAAGTTAGCGCTTGAAGTCTCTGAACTACAGAGAAGACAGCAGGAAGCAGTGGAACTCCATGAGAGAGTCTTGGAGGAGAAAGCCGTACAAATTGGGAAGCTGCAAGAGCAGGTGGAGGGCTCAACCAGGGCTGTGCATACCTTGAGTGCAGAGAGAGATCAGCTCCTGTCCCAGCTGAAGGAACTCTGCTTTCTCGCAGAACTGAAGGATCAGGCGGAAGGCAACCTTGCTTATTCAGAGGAGCAGCAACTTTCCAACTACGAAAGTGGAATCTCTCATCTAGGCTTGTTGAAGGAGCAAATTCAGAGTTTGAGAAACGAGACCAAATCCAAGGATGTGAAAATCATTGCTTTGCAAAAGGACCTGGATGAAGCCCAGCGTCATCTCTCGGAGCAAGAAATATTTGGGAGAAACCTGCTTAGCCAGCTCCAGGAGGAGGAGCAGAAGTCACAGGCACTGATGGGACAGGTGTGGGAGGCTTCCGCAAGGGCTGAGGAGCTCTCCCAGACCCTCACCTTGAAGGAGCTGGAGGCCACCAAACTGGCGAAACTCCTCTCTGAAAACTCGGTGGAGGTGGAGAGGCTCCAGCAGGAAGTGGTGGAGCGAGAGCAGCGGATGACCGAAGTCAGCGTTGGCATGTCTGACAGGATGGTGCAGCTAAACGAGGAGAAGTTTATGCTGGGGAAAGAGCTGAAGAGTGTGATGGAGCAGTTGAGTGTGTTGCAGCAAGGAAAGGAGACCAGAGAACAGGCTGTGGAAACAGAGGAGGAACAGCAGCCAACGGAGGTGTTGCCCCCCAGTGAAGAAGTGGAAGCGTTAAGGAAGGAGAATGAACTTGTGAGGAAGAAACTGCAAGCCGCACTTCTCAGCAGGAAGGAGCTCCTGAGCAGGGTTCGCCAACTGGAGCAGGAAGGGAAAGGTAGGAGAGAACCTCTAGCCGAGACCCAGGAGAATGAAGGAGTAGAACGTCCCACTGAGAGTGACGGGCTCAATGGTGGCACAGGGCATCCGGTAAGGCGAGGCAGGGCTGCCTCTCTGAGCCAGTTGCTCTCTGCAAAGGAAACCACGTCACAGACCACCTCTGGGGAAAGGGAATGCACCTGGCAGCGGACTGTGATTACAGAGTTGCAGCAAAGTCTACAGCAGAAGGACCTCCTTATAAGTACCCTGCAGGCTGAACTCAAAGACTGCAAGTTGGCCCCTGAGAAACAGACTCCCATGGATCAGAATGCAGAGGGGTCCAGTTCAGCAGTTTCTGGGGCAGGTGAGACAAGCAGCAAAGCTGGCCCTGGCCCAGAAGGAGAAAACAGGACTGTCCAGGAAGAGTTCTCAGCTCTGGTCCAGGAGAGAGAACAGCTCCAAAAGAAGCTCCAGGAAGCTCTGGTCTCACGCAAGGACACCATCAAGAAAGCCAAGGAGAAGAATCGTCATCACCGGGAGCTACTAAAGCAGCAGAAGGATGACTACAATCTCCTGCAAGAGCAATTTGAGCAGCAAAGCAGGGAGAAGGAGAGCCTGCAGGACCAGCTTCAGGCACTGTCCAAGACTCTGGAGAGCTGCTCTCCTCCAAAACCTGCTGGAGAGGCTTCTCCTGAGGGACCGGCATCAGGGCTTGTGCAGGAGTTTGGCCAGGAGGCCTTTGCAGAACGCACTTCCTTGGCAACTGAAGGCTTAGTTGTGGGACAGCTAAAGGCAGACTTTGAGAAACTTCAGGCTGAGAAAGGAGAAGTGGAAGCCCAGATCAGGCATCTGGAAGGAGAGCTTGACAGCAAGTCTGAGGAGACTCTGCTCCTCCAGGAAAAGGTCAAGCAACTTCTTGCTGAAGTGGAGATGGCCCAGGCTGCCTGCAGTCAGGCAGAAGCCAGTGTGGCAAGCCTGAAGCTGGAGTTGCAGGAGAGCCAAGCAGAAATCGCCAGGCAGGAAAGCCTGAGATGTCATCAAGAGCAGAAGGAACTCAGCAGCAGTGAAGAAATCAAAGGCCTTAGCTCCCAGTTAAAAGACCAAAACGAATCTCTGTGTGGCCTCCAAGCTGAGTTGCAAGAGAAGGAGAATATGATCAAAGTGTTGCAAGGGCAGCTGGAGCAAGCCCAGCAGCTGCAGGCTGAGCTGCAGCAGAAATCAGCGGGAGAACCTGCAGAGAGCCAGCCCAAGGCCCAGCTGCAGAGGAAGCTGCAGGCAGCCCTCATCTCCCGGAAGGAAGCGCTGAAAGAGAGCAGGGTGCTCAGGGATGAGCTAGCCAGCACCAAGGCCTCTCTCGAAAGCACCTCTCTCCACCTGCTAGATGTAGAGTCTCGGGTGTCTGAGCTGGACAAGGAGAAGATGGTCCTTTTGGAGAAATTGGCGACCCTCAGGGAGGAGCGGGAGAAACTCATTTCAGCAGTGGACAAAGCCTTGGTGGAAAACCAGAATATAACTGGTTCCTGCGAGAGCCTGAAATTGGCCCTGGAGGGGGTGACTCAGGAGAAGACAAGACTGGAGAAGGAAATGGGCTCTCTGCGGCATACGCAGGCCCAGGAGCTCTCTGAGTGGCAGAGGAAGCACAAGGAACTGCAGAAGGAGTATGAGACCCTCCTGCAGTCATACGAGAATGTCAGCAATGAGGCTGAGCGGATCCAGCGGGTGGTGGAGAGTGTCCGGCAGGAGAAGCAAGAGCTCTTCCTCAAACTGAAAGATGTAGAAGCTGAAAAGAAGGAAGGGGAGGCACGCCTGCAGGGAGCTGAACAGGAGATGGAAGGAATGAGGGAGAAGATGAGGAAGTTTGCAAAATCCAAGCAGCAGAAGATCTTGGAACTAGAGGAAGAGAATGAGCAGCTGAGGTTGGAAATTCATCCTGTGGATGGTAGACAGGGTGGGACACATTCTGGTCTTCAAGAAGAGCTGGAGACCTCCAAGAAGAATTGCCAGGCTCTTTCTGATCAGCTGAAAGTGCTGATAGCTGAAAAGGACTTTCTGAACCAGGAAATCCAAGATTTGAGGCAGACTTTGCAAAACAAGGAAGACAGAACAGATCTGAGCAGCATCCAAGAGGAGATGGTGGGCAAAAATAAGGCAGTCAGTTCCACCATGATGTCAGAGGAGGTGGCTGATGAACAAGGAGATCCAAAGACAGGTCCTGAACTTCTCACAGCCACTGCCCTGAGCCTTGAGGACAAGAAGGAAGATCTCAGCACAGTTAGCCCTTTGTGTGATGAAAGAATTGGGGATAGTCAGCAAGTGGCACAGCTCCAAGAGCAAGTGGCACAGCTCCAAGAGCAAGTGGCAGCACTAGAAGAGAAGGGGAAGATGGCGGCAGAGGAAATGAGTAAGTCCCATAGGGATTTGGAGGCTCTGAAGGAAGAGAAAAAAGGCCTGGAGGACTTACTGACTGTGAAAGGCCAGGAACTGGAAGCTCTTCAAGAAAAGATCAAAATGGAGGAAGTGTGTGGGCAAACCAAGGAACAGCTGACTGAAGTGTTGATGCTGAAAGAAGCTTTGGAAATTGAGAAGGATGACCTCGAAGAGAGGCTTATGAACCAGCTGGCAGAGTTGAATGGGAGCATCGGGAACTATCAGCAAGACATAGCAGACCTGGAGAGCAAAAACCAGCAGCTCCTTGGTGAGGTGGAAAGTCTTCAGGGGGCCCTGAGCCGCCTGGAAGATGAGAAGCGGCATCTATTGAGAGAGAAGTTTGAGGTGGAAGCAGAGAAGAAAGAGAATATGGAAAAGGTAAAGAGCACCTGGAAGGAAGACAATGGCCGGACTCAGACCAAAGAACTTCAGGAATTGTTGAAAGAGAAACAGCAAGAAGTGAGGCAGCTGCAAAAAGATTGTATTAAAAGCCAGGAGAAGATCAGTGGCTTGGAGAGAACCATCAAGGCCCTTGAGTTTGTTCAGAGTGAGTCCAAGAGGGAGCTGGAGGCCACCAAGAAGAGCATGGTAGAGGCAGGGGAGAACACCAAGAAAGTCCAAGCTGAGTTGGCTTCCTGCAAAGTCTTGCTGGACGATACTCAGAGTGAAGCTGCCCGAGTTGTGGCAGAGAGTCTGAAGGTGAAAGAGGAGCTTCAGGCAACCAAGGCTCAGGTCAGAAGTCAGCTCAGTCAAAAAGAGAAGGAGCTTGAGAGACATTTGGAACAAGAGAAGGTCAAGCACCTGAAGGAGATCAGGAACATGGAAGAGAGGTTGGAGGCCCTGCAGAAAAAGCAGGTATATGCAGAGGAGTCAGCACGAGACCTCCAAGAGTCCCTGCACCAAAAGGACCAGGAAGCCAAGCAGCTTCAAGGCAGCTTGAACCACACCTTAGCCCAGCTGGCAGCCTTCACCAGAAGCATGTCCTCCCTGCAGGATGACAGGGACCGGGTGATAGATGAGTCCCGGCAATGGGAAAAGAAGTTCAGTGAGGCCATTGAAAAGAAGGAGCAGGAACTCTATGCTAGAGAACAGGCCTGCGCTGCCTTGCAAGAGCAGACCAAGAAGATGGCTCTTCAGGTGGAAGACCTGCAAGGCCTCATTGCCAGGTAAAGCAGGGATTGATCCTTCCAATCCCTGGCATTTCAAGGCTCCTCTGGGGCTCTTGCATATTTTCACAACTAGCAGAAGCAGAAGCAGAGTAGGTGAGCTAAGTGGAAGGATGCAAATCCCCTTCCCCCCATTTTTTTCTATGAGGAACTTTGGTCATTTTAGCATGGAGGATATGAGACGTGGGTGTGGATTGGTGTGATGGATTCGAGCCTGTCTGCTTGCAAGCTACTTCAGTCAGTGGGAGCAGACTTTGTGTACAGCTCCCTGTATGTTATTCTGCCCACCTGATGCTATCTTTTAAAATTGCACAACTGCTTGATGCCTCAGGTTCTGGGTCAAGACTTGCAGGTATGGAGAAGCCGTTGCGAGAAGGGGTTTCCAGCCTCTCCTTGGGCTAAAATACTTCGGCTAGATCAGGCTTAAGCAGCAGATAGAGAGTTGGCAGAAAGTCACTGGGTCATCAAGGTCCAACCCCACAGTATTGGAGAAGGTCCTCCTTCCCCATAAAGTATTCTGGGCTGTGAATGGTCCAACCCATTCTTTAGAACCTCCCTGGGGAGCTCATTCCACCCTTGACGTGAAACATTTTCTCCCTGTAATTCAGTATCAGAAGCTTTTTTCCAGGCATCAGAGGCTCCAGTAACTTGTTTCTTTCCTATGCTCTTCTGACTGTCATTTAGTTCACACTCTAGTCTCACCCCTATGCCCTGCAGTTAAATATGACCCAGCCTCCATCCTAACTGACGGAATTACTTTGCAGGACCCATTTACGGTTCGGCTAGTGGCAGGGAAATCCTTTAGTGCTTCGGATGGCTAGTTTGGCAGGAAGGCGGTGAGGAAAGTAAAAGGAACGTATCTGGGCTGTATCAGATTCTACCATTTTTGCTTGCAGCCTGGAACGCAACAAATTAGTCCAGGAGTCCCATGCCCAGAAGGAGCTCCAGCATCATCAAGAAGAAGTGAGATTGCTTCAAGAAGAGAACAGCAGACTTGAACTTCAGCTTGAAGAGGTCCAGCAGTTACTGGGCAACTCCCAGAGCCAGGTTCTCCAGCAAGGGGGAGAACTTGGGTCTCTGAGAAAGCAGCTGGCTGATCTGCAGGACTCCTTTGAAAACTGTGACAAAGCACGTGTTGAAATGGCAAAGATGGCAAAGAGCCATGAGGCCGGTCTTCAGGATTACAGATTCAGCCTTGAGCAGTTGGAGGCTGATCTGCAGGCATCCAAGGAGCTGACTGATAGGCTCCATGCAGAGATGAGCTTCAAGGAGCAGAAGATTGTCAGTCTTGTGGCTGCCAAGGAAGAGGCTATCGCTGGAGCCGTATTAGAAATCCAGCAGCAGCACAAGGAAGAGTTGAAGGAGTTGGAGAACCAGATTGCCAAGGCCGAAGTCGAGAAGGTGGCCTTGGAAGCCAACAAGGCAAAAGCTCAGGAGAAAGTTAGTAGTCTCATGGAGAAGTTGAAAAATACCCATGAGGAGAGCAAGCAGCACAAAGCCCAGCTGGATTCCTTCACCAAATCAATGTCTTCCCTGCAAGATGATCGGGACCGGGTCCTGGAAGACTATCGGCAGCTGGAACAGCGCCACCTGGCAGCCATTTTAGAGAAGGATCAGCTAATCCAGGAAGCAGCTGCAGAGAATAATGCACTGAAGGAGGAACTTCGGAGCCTGCACGGTCAGATGGATGACTTACATGCAGAGAATGCAAAGTTGGATGCTGAACTGGTACGGTATCGGGAAGACCTGAATCAAGTCATATCCATCAAGGACAATCAGCAGAAACAGCTGCTTAAAACCCAAATTGAGCGTATCCAGGCCCTGGAAAAGGAGAAGGCAGGTGTGGAAGGCCAGCTGCAAGAGTCTGAACTTAGTTTGGCCAACCTACAGCTAACTGTGGAGGCCCTGCAGCTGGAGAAACATAATCTGGAACAAGAAGTGAAGGCCCTCAAATCTTCCCTCTCCCAGGTGCAAAATGAGATACTGGCGCTGCAGGAAGGTGGTCCCATGCTGGAGCTGCAGTTGCAGTTGCAGGACCAAGTGGATGAAGTACAGAAATTGGGTGGCCAGCTTTTGCTGTCAAAACAGCAGGTGGCGGAACTTGAAGAGGAGCTGTCTCATCTTCGTCAGACCACCTCCCAGAAAATATATGAAGCTGAAGCCAAGATGAAAAAAGAGCTCAAGAGCCTCCATCATGACACTGGACTCCTGCGGAATGAGACTGAGACAGCCGAAGAACGGGTGGCAGAACTGGCCAAGGACCTCCTGGAAATGGAGCAGAACCTCCTTGTGGTCACGGAGGAAAACCAGGATTTGAAGGCCCAAATCCAGTCCTTCAAGAAAGCAATGAGTTCTCTCCAAGATAGCTGGGACCGGTCTAATGAAGAACTGCGTGCCATGGAAAAGAAATATGCTGGAGACTTGGAAGAGCAGAGGCAGCTGGTTCAAAACCTCCGTGAGGAGAAGCTTCAGTTTCAGGAGGTGCAAAAAACCCTGGAGAGGCAGAGGGATAGCCTGACCTCCGAACTTGCTGCTTTCCGAGACCCAAAGGAAGGGAAGGGCCTGTTGGAGAAGCTGGAGAAGCTCAACCAACAGCTTGAATCCAAAGACTCGCAACTTGTTTACCTGTCATCTGAGCTGGAAAGGGCCTCTGGCCAAGTGAAGTCCTTCTCCCAGGCCATGGCAAGCCTGCAGGCTGAGCGAGACCGTCTGCTGAGTGAACTGGACAAAATCCGCAGAACGGAGGAGGTGAAGCTGCAATCAGCCGCTGGCCCATCTGCCAGCCTGGCCGAAGTGCCAAGCCTCAAGAAGGCACTGTCATCCCTGCAGAACGACCGAGACCGGCTGGTGAGTCTTGAGTCTCTGCTGTGTGTTGGATAGGCCAACACATCTTTTATGAGTGCCGGGGTGGAGGATTTTCCTGGAATGTCAGCACCTTCTGATTTCTGGACTCTTCCACTGTTTGGCTGAAAACTAAACATAAATCTTCTTAAAACCAACTTTTTTGCAAGCAAGAAATGCATTTAAGTTGTGGACCTTCCCCTCCTAAGTTTGGAAGGAAGACAGTTTCTTTAGAAATGTTGGGACTGTATGTTTCTGCCCCAAACATATCGGAAGAAGGTTGCAGTAGAGAGGAGTCCCAATTAGGAAGCCCAACAGATCAGAACCCAGACTGACTGGTGGGTTTCAGGGGGGAACGCTCAGTGTCAGCACTGTAAAAACGTTGCTGGATACGGATCAAGGGTTTGAGGTTGTTCAAATGAATTGTTTTGCTCTTAGATCACATTTGGGAAGGTCTGGTCTGAATTTATGCAGGCAGAGGAGCTTTCTGGTCTCCAGTAGGCAAGATACGGGTTTTTATGGAGCAGAGAAAGAAGGAAGCTCCATCTTCCATTCAGGCCGGTAGCATGTCTGTAGTTTTCAGATTTCGAGGAAGGCCATCAGTTCTTTTGGCTGTCTCTTGTGCTTAAATCAAAATGATTTAAAACTTTGCAGAGTTGAAACTCTGAGACCTGCAGAAATTATGCCAATTAAACAGTCTGCACATAAATTTGTAATTTGCATAATTCTGCCTCTGCTGGCAGTCAGGAAGAGCCAGAAGGAAAGATTCGTTTTCTGGCACCTGAATTCTGCAGCACCGTTCCCTTCAAAAGCTTTTTCCCTTGCATGGGATGCACCCAGTCTGGTGTGTCGGCTTTCTTTTAACAGCATTCGAGAAGTAACAAGAGACACTTGGTTTTCTTGATCAGAAGTCTTTTAGTCCAAGTCCAAGAGAGCAGTGGAAGACAACTGGAGAGAGACTCTGCATGTTTTCTTGTTTCTGCAGGGTAAAATAGTTGACCAGACCAATGCCGTAGCGAGGGAGACAGGGCACTTGCCTTCTGACTCTGATCGGATGGCTCCCAATCCCAGCCCTGGCACAGCTTCTTGCTGAGAGGCTGGCTCAGAATCCTTTGTCAAGGGATCATTTGCCCCCTAAACTCTTTTGGAGAAGTTTTGGGAACTTGATCTTCCTGATCCACTTGGAAATGTTGATAAGCTGGTGGTCCTCTTTTTGTCCTCAAGCTGGTAGAGCTGAAGAACCTGCAGCAGCAGTATCTCCAGATGGGGGTGGACACAGCCGAGATGATGCGCTTGAAGGCCCAGCTCCAGCAGCAGAAGCAAGAGTTGGAGCAACAGCAGCAGCTCCAGGAGAAGCTGAGGCAGGAGAGGGCCTCCTGGCAGTTGGAGCTCCACCAACTCAGGTGAGGGAATGGGGCCCACGCCAGCCTGGATTTCAGTTGTCCCCACCAGGGGCTGCTTTGTACGGCTAAACAGTCTCGTGAAGTACAATCTGAGAGGATTTTTTTAGTACGCAGTTTCACTGATGAAAACCAGCCAGCCAACCAACCATGATCAGTCCAGGCGCGGGCAATGAGCATAGAGCTTGGGAGCTCCTTAGTTGTACTCAGCTCTGATCCTTCATGTGTGAATCCCCCCAAGCACGTCCTTACAGCGTAGCTCTCTGAAGTTGAACTTTGGCCCCTCAGACCTGAGCCAGACTGACTCCAGCTTCTGCTTATGTGTCCAGAAGAACTTCTCTCTCTCTGGATACCCTGAGCCATTGTGCCTGCTTTGCACGCATTTATTTTGAGCTGGAACCGTTCAAGCTGAGCCTTGCCCGTTTTTGCCTCCTTCGTCTTAATTAGAGTGACAGAAATGAGTCGATGATGTTCCTGTACCTCCTGAGGCCTGGAGACCTTCCTACCTCCAGCTGGCCAACCTTAAGGCTGGGAAATGGGTTTTTGAAACTGAGGGAGGCTGATGCCCTCGAGATCTTGAACCCTGCCCAGCCAAACCAGTTGATGACTCAGCTTTGGCTCCTCTGGGAGAGTCTCGTAACCAGAGAAGTGCCATCCGCATCCTCTTTGCCCTCCGTCTGCGGTGTCGCATCTGCAAGTTCTCTTTTGGGGGCTGTTCTCTTTTAGGGAAGAAAAGGCAGCCTGGGAGCAGGGCAAGCAGCAGACCCCACCCAGTGCTCAGGGTATGGAGAAGCAGCACCAAAGACAGGTGAGTGACCCACTCTGGAGGGCAGCAGGCATGCTTGGGCTAGCCGGAGGTAGGGCTTCCGCAGCACACTAAGCGAATGAAAGCAGAAGCTTAGCGCAGTGTGTGCAAATGCATCTGCGACCTGGTTAAATGTGTGAACTTTTGACTGCCCTGCTCTCCTTTTTTAAGCTAGCCTGGCCCATCACGTGGCAGGGAGATAGTTAATCATGATCTTCTGTGCACAAGACCTCCCCGACTCCTTGAGTTCATGTATATTTTTATCCTGGGAGATTTGTCAGATTTTTAATATTTCCTTCTTCTGATACTGCTTTTATTTAGGGTAAAATGTTATCCATAACAAGATTTGCCTTTGGTACATTACATTAAATTTGTGTTAATCATTCTTTTTACGCTCTTGTTGTCAAAGGACACGTTTTGCAAGATTATAATACCCAGATTTGTCTAGGATGCTGAACTTTGATTTGTTTTTTTAACCATATTTTGCTGAACATAACGCCACCAGTGGCTGGGCTGACTTGTTCACATAAAGCCAAACCAGCAAATGGCTCTTATGAACCCCAAAACCTTTTTATACTTACTTACCCAAATCTTTTAGGATTAACTGCTCTCAGCAGCCGTATCGTGTTTGGCCTCTGGACTGCAACTCCCATCATTCTCCTGCGTGTACTGGGACTGATGGGACTTGGGGGCCCAGGCTTTGGAAGCCACCTGTGGGCCATCCCAGCTCTACATGAATAGATCCGAGAGGGTCATGGCAGGCCTTGCTGGGCAAAGGCAGCCAAGCCGGGCAGCGTCTGAGGGCTCCTCTCCTGCAGGGTGCTCCAGGGGCAACTGGCCCCGGCAGAGATGTGGCTGGCCAGGCGGCAGCCTTGGAGGATCTCCAAGCCCAGCTGGGGAGCAGCTTGAAAGGCCTGCATCAGAAGGAGCTGCGCATCCAGCAGCTGAACAACAAGGTGGGCAGTGACAGGGGGACAGTGTGGGGGTGCAGAGGCCTGGGGCTTCTTCCTCTGGGGCAGGAAGGCCTTTTCTAGGTGCCAACTGTGGGGAGGGAATGTTTTTCCTTGGAAGCGGACTGTCTCGAGTCCATCCTCTCTCAATGCTTGCACGAGCCTTCCTGGATGTTGGGTTTACATTGTGCCCTAAGTCATGGCTTGTTTTAGCCATGATTTGTTGAGGGCCAGAATAGATTGGGGTCACACTAAATCCAGGCCAAAACAGCCATGTCATGGCTTAGTGCGATCCATGAACCCAGTTAGCTACATTCAACCCCTGCTTGGCTGCTGGGCATTATGCTGGCTTTCCTCTGGGAAGACCCCCAGCCTCACCCTCCCGGGCCATCTCTCCAGCTGTCGCAGGTCTTTGAAGAGAAGAACGCGCTCGCCCTGCAGCTCCGGGGCAGCAGCCGCAGCCTCCGCGAGAGCCAGCAGCGCCACAGCGAAGCTCTTGCCCGCTGCGAGGCCTTTGAAAAGCAGCTGCGGGAATTGCAGCTTCCGGCGAAGACTGGGGTAAGGCCGAGGAGAGGGCTGGGGCTCCCTGCCACGTTCCCTCCGTGTCATTAGGGGCAGGGTGGGAGCAGCCCGTCACCCCGCCTCCCCCAAGGGGGAGAATTTTGCACATGGAAAGGGCTGCCCTTCCAGGCATCTCCAGCCTCTCCCCAGGACCAGGTGACGTGGCTCTTCTTCCTAACCTTCTGCATGAGGTGAGCACATCTGGTGTCCACATGGCACATTTTGCCTGGCGCAACCCGGGACCTCTGGCCCAGTCCGCATTCAACTCAGGCCCCAGCGGGAGGGAGAGCGGAGGGAGCGGGCGGGGCCATCCGAGGGCCTGTCCTTGCTGGGCCACGTCCTCATGCCTGGTTTCTGCCTCAGGGACCCGTCCCGACCGACGCTGCTCCTGGGGCCCCCCAGGAAAAAGATGAGCTGTCTGGAGAGAGCAACCCGCGAGAGCTGCAGGACCTGCAGATGCAGTGAGTGTCGCGGGCAAGCAAATTAACTGGTGGGGCTTCTGGGTCACCCGAGAAGGGAGGCCGTTCGCCCTGGTGTCCCAGTGACTTGGGGGGTCCGCTAAGCCACAGGCGAGATCCCGGTGGAAGATCTCTTCCCTCCTGCCTCCGATCCTTGAGCTGATCCCAGGCACAGCCGGGCTCGGTCTGCATCTCTTTGAAGCGTCAGGAGCCCTCCGGGGGGCCGCTGGGGCCTCAGCCTGTGTCTCATGGGGCCTCTCCTCCCCCCCACAGGCTCTCGGAGGCCAAACAGCAGCAGAGCAGTGCCAGGCAGGGCCTGATGCAGCTTCAGCAGCAGCTGGAGGAAGAGCGGGACCGGCGCCTGGCAGCCGAGGAGGCTTGCTCTGCAGCCCAGGAGCAGATCCGCAGGTGCGGGGTGGGACTGCCCCCCCCGGCTGTTCCCGGGGACCACTCCCAGCAACAGCAAGGGGCGGCCCCTCTGCTGACTGGAGGCTCCGACGCGCGTCCCTTGAGAACCCTTGGCCAAGCTTTCTTGAACCGAGAAGCTCCTGGGCCAACGCCATTGATTTTGTTGGGGGGACAGACCCATCGTGGCAGGATCCCTTTCCCAGCCCAGCAGCTGAGGGTTGCTCCTCGGGGGTTTTCCTTCTCAGTGCCTTGGTGGTCTTGCCCCAAGGGAGGCGTTTCCAGGCTCACTAGCGAGAGGGAGAGGTGGGCTGTCCCATGAGAAGGAGCCAGGCTCGTCCCTTGGAGGTGGGGAACAAGAGGAGGAGGCCTTTGGAGATGCCCCAGGGTCCCCTTCAGTGGCTGGAGGGGAGTGGTAGTTCAGGTCTCTGGGGAACCCCGGTTGGGGGAGGCCAGCCTTGCGAGTCCCCTCACCCGGGGCCATTGGGGGCCTCAGCGACAGGGCCCTGATCTGGGCCTCTTGTCATCCAGGTTGGAGTCCGAGGAGTGGGCACACTCTCTGCAGACCAGCATCGCGATGCCTCCCGGCCAGGAACACGACCCGCTTCTAGAACCTGCAGAGGGCTCCTTCAGCAAGGTGAGGGGGCTGCCGTGACTGCTTCAGCTGACTTTTGCCTGTTGAGTTTTCATGCGATGCCCATGGAGAATGCCTCCCTTCTTCTCAGAAGAGCGCCCGGGCGTGCTTCTTCCCCAGCCCAGGAACCCAGAAGACCCTTTCCCGAGAACGAAAGAGCCAGCGCATATCGCTAGCTGATCTCCTCCTCTCACTCCTGAACAGAGCAGAAAGTCCTACGTCCTGTCCCCTTCCTGGCATGAATTTGTCCCTCCAGTTGGGCAGGGGCCGTTGTCCCCTTTCTGATCTCTTGGCAGCTGCTGGTGGGGTGGCTTGAAATGACCTTCCCTAACGGTGCCTCCCCTTCCCCCTCTCTGTCCACAGGCTCGAGGGGGCAAGGGGCTGCAGCGTGTCCTGCGCTCCGTCTTCTGTCCCCGGCGGCTCCTGTCCCTGCTGGCCACCGTCTACCTCTTCGTTATCCACGTGCTGCTTTTCCTCCACGTCGTAGGCCGCTTGTGAGAGGAGGGATCTGTGGCCCTAGCTGGGGCACAGGCACTTGGGTGAACTGTGGCCCCCTGTGCCTGGGGGACCCTGCTGGGCTGGGCACGAGGGAGCTCACAGGTCACACGCAGCCCAATGGTCAGGAGCAGCCCGGAGGAATCCTGACAGAGGGAGGCAGAGTTGGGGTGGGCTTTAGGAGCCAGACCTTTGTGACTGCGGGGTTGTGTGTCTCCTCCACAGGGAGCCCTAGGGCTTCCCCAGCCTGGAATCAGGGCAGCAGCGTTAATTCACGGTCTGAGTTAATTTGGGTGGAAGGGATGGAGCGAGGAAGATGCCCACCCCCCTTCTTCTTGGCCTTAATCGTAATTAGCTGAGGTGGGACCCCCTGCGGGGAAGACCAGAGTTCTGCCGGCGCTGCTCCTCCGCCCCTTCGCCTCCCTGCACGGGCTGGGATGGGGGGGGGGGGGGGGGGGGGCAAGCAGGCTTGATTTAACTTCTTGCTTGCAGCAAGGAGAAGTTCTCTCTTCCTGCACGGTTTGTGCGCCACTGTTTTAGCACCTGGGGCTGGAAACGTTGCCCCCCAGGGAAGGGAACCCTCTGTTCTGTTCTGCCTTAAAGGGCAAGGAGGAGGGAAGTGCCTGTCTGAGGCCCTGGAACCGGGCTCTTGCACTGCACTGAGGAGGGAGGCCAGGCTGGGGCAGCAGGCGGGGCAGCACGCCACCTTCCAGTCCCAGGACCTCTGGAGACAGAGGTTGTCCAGCAAGCCCCGGGGGCCAGATATTAGAGCAGAAACCTGCTTCCCCAGCTTTAAGGGGGCCTGGGTTACGTGGCAGGGAATTCCCTTTCTGGTTACTTGGGAAAAAGACCTTTCCTTCTGGCGTGGCCTGGGATCTCCCTCTCAGACCCTGTTCGCACTTAATGAGGTGCTCCCCGTGGTCTGTGGGGTGCCCTTTATCTACTAGATCCAGCCTTCTGGTTCTCTGAGACCCTTTTGTTGTGCAATAAAGATGTTTATTTTTCTGATCATCTTGAGTGCGCCTGATTTCTTGTTAGAACTCGTCAGTATCTTCAGAGCTGATGGAAGAGGAATCTCCTTGGAGGAAACAATCTTCACCGTTAAAAAAAAACTTGTCTTCCAATGTATTGCCATCTTTGAGAATGAAATGTAGCATTGACCTATGCTCAGGAATACCCACACTGCAGGCCTGGGAATATTACCAGGTGGTGGGGCTGTTGCACACCAGGCCCCTGGCTTTGCTATAATGCTCTTAGCGGTTTGTGGCTTTGTCTTACTCTTGGTCCTCCAGAGGATTAAAGAAGACTTTCAGCGTATTGTATGTTCATCTGTAAACAATTCCTGCCCACCCAAGATTTCATTCATCTCTTTCTTCAGGTTATGAACTTTATGGCTGGGAGAAGCCGACTGCAAGTCGAGAGATGCCCTGAGCAGGAATCGATTCCTTACTTCTAGGTGGACTGGCCCAGTTTTAGCTGAGGAAGTCAATCCAGGCACAGAATGTGTTGCTTCAGAATTGGAGGTGGGGAAAGCCAGGTTGCGTCTCTCCATCTAGAAGAGCGGTCGTGTCCCTCAACAGATAGAAGATAAACACTGGGTGAAGGTTCTTATCTGGGCTGCAAGAACAAAATTGGGCCATTGAAGCATCTAGTTTAGCATCCGCTTTCCCAGAATACACTTACGGAGGTCCTGAGTGAGACAAAAAGACAGCCCTCCCCTTGGTGGTGCTGCCCAGGCATTGATCCTGGCACCTAAAGCCATCATGACAAGTGGTGGCCACTGACCTTCTCCAGGAATTGATCTAAACCCCTGGGAAAGCCATCTCAAAGGGGTGGCCATCACTGTATCTTGTGGTGGAGCCCCAGGATGAGCGTGCTACGTGTAGAAAACTTCCCTTTTGCCTACCTGGCCTGAACTCCCTCCCCCTCAGTTTCACGGGGGGCCTTGTAGGCCTCTACTAAGATGGAGGCACTTCCCGTACACTGTCCCAGGCCTACCTTGCACATGGCCAATGCCTGAAGCCCTTGCTTCTATGGAAGATGTTCCAAGGGGTTCTCCTTTTCTGCCTCTTCACAGATACGCTCTAAGTAAGATGTTTGTACAAGGAATGGCCTTGCTGGTCATCAGAAGAGACCCTGGAATTCACCAGGGGCCACATGTTTTCTTTCTCTGTCACCAGAAGGTTTGGCTGGAAGGAACACATACTAGTGAAGGGCATCTGGATTCTTGGGGGTTCTCTTCCCATTCTTTGCTTGCAGGCCCCCTTCACTGAGGGTATGGGGGTCAGTGTTACATGGAGTATGTATGGCTTATGCCTTCTACTCTGCAGAGTGCGACATTGAGCTGACAGACTGATTGCGTGCGTGTCCTGTCCATCTCTTTCTCTTCCAGAGAAGGAAAGGCCAAGTTGGAAGTCCAGCCCAGAATTATGTGCCCTGCAGCATTTGTCAAAGCTCTGAAGTTAGCTTTGTCAAGTTGTCCACACTTTCTGCTGGAGCAGTGTTTCTCAACCTTTAACATGTGTGGACTTCAACTCCCAGAATTCCCCAGCCAGCATGGCTGGCTGGGGGATTCTGGGAGCTGAAGTCCACACACCTTAAAGTTGCTGAGGTTGAAAAACACTATGCTAGAGCAAATGCCAAGACATCTGAATGTGGGGTTGCCCTTGGGCCGCAGAAGGTCACACCTCTTTAGGGGCATTTCTGGATGTCCTTCGGTCATGCTTAAGATGGGAATTGCTGCTTGAAGTCTTGTCCTACAAAAATTATAGGAACATCATAAGGCCCCTCCTGGATCGGAGCAAAGTCCAGCATGGCATTGTTAATTAATTGGGAAGGCGTCTGTGTCACCCTTCATCCAACGTTGCTTCCCTTGGGGGAAGCCGACAAACATCTAAAGGAAGGCTTTTAAAAGGGGATGCCTGTGGCCTGCAGCTATGTTGGGATCAAGTTGATTTTGCTCGGGAGGGGGCAACTTTCTCGCCTCTAGGGAAATGCGCTATGAAGAAGCACAGCACTGCATAAGAAGAAGGAACTCTGCCCTCCCTTGGTGTACTTCCTACATTTCTGTTGTATCGTGCCTCAATAGACAGCTGCATCTTTTGTTCGCTTCTGCACATGTGCAGAGGGCACTTCCCTTTACTACCAGATACCTTAGGTTAGAAGGGCACATATTCCTAACCCTGGAAGATGCCCTCAGCATGCGCTCAGCCAGAGGCCAGCCTTTTTATGGGTTCAGCCTTCGGGTTGCAAGGGGACGTCCTGGCAGTGCACACCTCCAGTCTTTTGGAAGTTTGCAGGGATTTCCACCACTCCCCAGGTCTTGAGTGGGGCCAAGCCCAGGGCCACGTGTTATGCAAAGGTATGGCTGGGACCCTGCTTACACACACACACACACCCCACATGCCATTGGTCTTCTGCTGCTGTGACGGGCCCGGGAGGTGACAAACCCGTTTGGTGAAGTTAAAACAGGAACTTGGGTTTGCTCAGCAGAGCAAGTGAAACCAGGGTGGGTGAGAGGAAGCAGAGCAGAGGCGCTGCGAGTGGTGGAAGTGAGGCTCCCGGGCAAGGTATAAAGGCTGAATGTGGCGCACGGAGGCTGGTGGGCCGTTGTGAACGGAGTAGTGGTGGGTTGTGGTGGGAGGCCAGCCCTGTTTGCTGAGGGATACCCGGGCCCTCTCGGTCTCTGGAGCTGGTGGGGCCCAGGGAGGATGGCTTGCTAGCTTGGCGAGAGGGCGCAGCGCTCCGAGCCCTCTTGGGCAGAGGGAAGACGCAGCCACCGGGGAGCGTAGCCGAGCGGCTGAGCGCCTGCCCGCCGAGTAGACTAGAAGGGACCGAAAGGGCTTCCTCCCCTGGCTCTTGGGCTGCTGAGCTCCGAAGCTGGGAGCAGTAAGTAGCCCAGCAGCTCGGCTGCAACAGCTGCGTTGCTGCCTGCACTGCCTTGCGCCCACTGCCAGGACCCAGATGGCCTGGGGAGCCCCCGTGGAGCATCTGGAGCAAAGCGGAGGAAAAGAAGGGCAGTTCCGGATGGAGAGGCCAGGCCTTTGCTGGGCATCTGGGGAGGGTTTGCCAAAAAAGGGACTGGCGCGTGCTGGCGGAAGTCAGGCCTCCAGAGTCGCTAGCCCAGTTCTGCACTGGCGTTTCCTGGCTGTGCCTTTTGCCAAGTCTTTCAGAGAAGTTTTAAAAGCTGCAGGAGCTTCTTGCAAATCCATGAAGCTGGTCATGCGCGGACAGGTCGTGAAGGTGCCTAAGTTGCAGCTCCCTCCCCCCCGGATTAATCTTCATTTGGGGGTGATGCTTCTGAACGCTCCCTTCGGCTCTTCGACCCTCCCCTTGCCTCAAAGCCAGGCTTCCTTGCGCAGCTCGGTCTCTGTCCCACCAGCTCCGGAGAAGGGTTGCATTTGTGGCTTTCTCTTCTCAGCAGCGCACAGCCTTCACCCCACTGTGGGTGGCAGAGCATCTCTTGTTGACGCACCATTTTTGCTTTCCCAAGAAAGCATCCGGAGACTGAACCCTCTCTTTGCAGCACGCCACCTTCCTATTTTCAAGTTCAAAGTTGTTTTTCTTTTAAATGTCCAGATGTTAGTGGGCCAGGGAGCCCAGTGGGTTGCAAGGGAGACGCCTGTGCTCTGGTGTCCCACGCTGGGGATTTCTGGCAGCGGGTGCTCTTTTCAGTGAGCAAAGGGCTGTTGGAAACCTTTTCCAAAACCCTCTGCTGGGCTGAACCTCCCCTGGAGATGCAGGACTGTTGAGAAATGTCTGTGCCAGAAAAGCAATCCTAAAATAATTGTTTTAAACCGGAATTGCACTCCAGAGACTATCCCATTCTTCAAAGGCCACCAAGTTTCAGCTCACCACGCAGGTTGGTTTCATTTATAGTCTACTCCTAAGTGCGTCCTCTCAGGCCTAGGCCTGACTGAGTTCTCCTTATTTACCTAAGTCCCCTGAAGCCAGCAGGGGTTGTGGGGGAGAGGGTCAGAAGAAACCTGATGCTGAATCAGGCCGTGGACCCATCCGGTCCAGCCTCTTGTAGCTGACGAAGCCCACAACGGACTTGGAGGGTGTTAGCATCCTTCTGCTCATGCTTCCCCAAGCAGCATGGAGAGGTAGATGCAGCAGTCCTGGAGGAAGAACGCTGGACTATCCTGACTCATCACCATTCATAACCTCCACTTCCAGGCATTTCTTTCGGCTCCTTTTAAAGCAACTTGCGTTGGTGGCCATCAGTACATCTTGTGGATGCAAATTCTACTGTTGGTCAAGAGGAAGTGGGATCACAGAATCCTACAGTTGGAAAATGCTCTTGGAGACATCAGTTCAGCCCCAATTCAGAGCAGGGGTCCACATCGGAGCATCCCTGACAGGGCTGTCTAGCCTCTGCTTCCTTGTACCTCTCCTGACTCCCTGGAGGGACCCCACTAACCTGAGGCGCTTTATCCTTAGGTCAGGAGGTATCTGGGAGCATCTTTCCCACTAACAAATCTTATTCAAACGGATCACTTGCATGAACTGTAGCTCACTTTGTCAGATGCAATGGAGTGACTAGTCTGATGGAAGAAAGAAATTGGGATGAGGTGGGAGGAAAAGGTGCGGGGGATGGGAGAAGAAGATGGGTTAGTTATGAAGATGCAGGTTACTTGTGAGACAGATGACAAGTACCTTATCCATTAACAATTGTAATGTGGGGTCCTTGGGCTTCTCCGAGCTTGGTTCTTTTCCTGCAAACGTTTCATTACCCAGCTAGGTAACATCTTCAGTGCTAAAATGGGATGGGGTTTGCTCTCTATTTATATACTGTGGCCTGCCCTGCCAGTGCTGGTGGGGCTGGGGGTTTTGTTTTGCTCCTCTGTAGTTCCTTGATTAGGGTATTGTT